CACGATTACACTTTTATGAAGTCGTGTTAAAAGGAGAAAGGTGAGTACGTATCAAGAAATTAGCACGATTACACTTTTAGGAAGTCGTGTTAAAAGGAGAAAGGTGAGTACGTATCAAGAAATTAGCACGATTACACTTTTATGAAGTCGTGTTAAAAGGAGAAAGGTGAGTACGTATCAAGAAATTAGCACGATTACACTTTTATGAAGTCGTGTTAAAAGGAGAAAGGTGAGTACGTATCAAGAAATTAGCACGATTACACTTTTATTTGCTGAATAAAAACGGTACACGGCGATGCTGGGCTTAAAATGTAATGTTATAAATGGGGCGTGGACTGCCACCTTTCACTATTTTGAGCCATGGCCCATGAATCGCTCGTTCGATGCAAAATTGGCCATGCTTTGATTTTAGATAGAAGCTTGGAATATCCATCGAGAAATGATTTTGCTTAGAAATTTGGTGTATTCCTCGAGAGATGCCTTTAGTTATAAGTTTGGTGTATTCCTTGAGATATGTCTTTAGTTAGAAGTTTGGTGTATTCTTTGAGATATGCCTTTAATTAGGTGTTTGGAGTATCCCTCGAGAGATACCTTTAGTTAGAAGTTAGAAATTTGAAGTATCCCTCGAGAGATACCTTTAGTTAGAAAGTTGGAGTATCCCTCGAGAGATACCTTTAGTTAGAGGTTTGGTGTATCCATCGAGAGATATCTTTAGTTAGAGGTTTGGTGTATCCCTCGAGAGATATCTTTAGTTAGAAGTTTGGAGTATCCCTCGAGAGATATCTTTAGTTAGAAGTTTGGTGTATCCCTCGAGAGATATGTTTAGTTAGAAGTTTAGAGACTCTGATAAGATTGCTTTGATTTAGGATGTTCTTGTAAAGTTGGTATGGATAAAAACATCTGTTAGTGATAATCGACTAACTGTTGCCAACTGAAATAATATTGTTTGTTAAAAATATAACTCACTATCTGTATCATTAACGTAAATATTTAATAGATCGTTTTCTGTTTTCATCATCATGTTTTTTGTGTGTATTTTTTCATGATAATCTTCCCTTTCAAAAGAGGAGTATTACTGTACTGTCTGGATATAATTGTCTTAAAGAGTTTTACACAAACGTCACCAGATGGAACTACCGCTTCTAATAACCAGATATATTTGACATATGTTTAATAAATATGTTAGGAATATAAACATGTTAACATATGTGTATAAATCACTTTATATATTTATTTTGTTTGTTTTTGAATTTCGCGCAAAGCTACACGAGGGCTATCTGCGCT